AAAAAAAAAAAAAAAAGAAAAAGAAAAAGATTCTCTACCAGGAACATGCTTACAACAGCCGTAAGAGGCTGGTACTAGCGTTTTGGGAATTGGACAAATGAGGACCCAGAGGGTCGGAGCAGAGTGATATCTTGAGATGGGGAGCTGGTAAGTGGACCCCAGCCTGGCTGGCCCCAGCACACAGTGGGGACCCAGGCAGGCTGCTGGGGTAGCGATGGGTGACCCGGTGATCATCACTAGGTACACTCACTTCATCCAGTCCTTCCTGGAGTCAGCCGAGGAATTCTTCATGCGTGGGTACCGGGTGCACTACTACATCTTCACTGACAACCCTGCAGCCGTTCCCGGGGTCCCACTGGGTCCCCACCGGCTCCTCAGCACCATCCCCATCCAGGGTCACTCCAACTGGGAAGAGATATCCATGCGCCGGATGGAGACCATCAGCCAGCACATTGCTAAGAGGGCTCACCAGGAGGTGGACTACCTCTTCTGCCTTGATGTGGACATGGTGTTTCGGAACCCGTGGGGCCCTGAGACCTTGGGAGACCTGGTGGCTGCCATTCACCCAAGCTACTACACCATACCCCGCCAGCAGTTTCCCTACGAGCGCAGGCGTGTTTCCACTGCCTTTGTGGCAGACAGCGAAGGGGACTTCTATTATGGTGGGAAAGTCTTCGGGGGGCAGGTGGCCAGGGTATATGAGTTTACCAGGGGCTGCCACATGGCCATCCTGGCAGACAAGGCCAATGGCATCATGGCAGCCTGGCGGGAGGAAAGTCACCTGAATCGTCGCTTCATCTCAAACAAGCCGTCCAAGGTGCTGTCCCCCGAGTACCTCTGGGATGACAGGAAGCCCCAGCCGCCCAGCCTGAAGCTGATCCGCTTTTCTACACTGGACAACGATATCAGCTCCTGAGGGGCTGACCATGGAGCTGGGGCTGACCATGGAGCTGGGGCTGCCATGGATGGGGATCCAAAGCCCTGCAGCCACCAGCACTTCACTAGTGTGCAGACCAGCCCTGTCCCACCTCCCTCTGTCAGTCAGGCAAATTCAACTGGAAAAGGGACGTGGAAAGGCCACTGTGAACTGCAGAGGGCTGTGCACACAGTAGCACACAAGATCTCACAGTAATGTGGCACAGGAACGGTGAGACGGGGGAGGGGAGGCGCAGTTACAAAGGCAGGGCCCGGCAGGCTTGCCGCGTTCTGCAGCCGTGCCTTTGTGGGGCAGGCTCCGAAGCCTCAGCCCGACTCAGAGTGCCTGAACCCTGCAGCGCCAGCCTCCCGTTTATTGCATATTGCCCTTAACATAGCATTTCTAATACCCTAGTGTGAGGGCACCCTAGACCCCTTTTCTCTGGTCACAGGGGTCCTGGATCCCTTGATGTCTCCCAATCACATGTAGCCAATTCCTCACTCAGGCCCCCAGAGCGAGCCTTTGAAATGGAGCAGGTCTAGGCTCCCTCTGGTTTCCTGCGCCCCAAAGTGAACCGCACTCTCAGGGGACTAGCCACCTCCTTCTTAAGAGGGTTTGGGGCAGTTTATAATAAAGGTGGTGTGTGCTCCACTCCAGCTAGGGTGATTTTTTGTTTGTTTGGCTTTTGCTTTTGTTTTTGTTTTTGTTTTTTTTGAGACCGAGTTTCGCTCTTGTCACCCAGGCTGGAGTTCAGTGGCGTGATCTTGGTTCACTGCAACCTCCACCTCCCAGGTTCAAGCGATTC